TCCCGGCCAGAGCAGGGGGGGCCGGAGGGGGGGGCGGCGTGGGCAGCGGGTTGTGCCCGGACACGTGCCTGCCCAGGCGCCCCGGCCCAGCCGGTGTTTGGAGAGAGGGCGGGTCCCTGCCCCCCGCCCCGCACAACCCCCACGTATCAAAGGGCGGCTGAGACGTGGTGAGACCTCGGGGCGCCCTGGGAGGGGGGAGCCTGGGTCCGGAGCAGGGGAGGGGCAGAGGAGCTGGTGCGAGCTGACCCACAGGAAACGAGCGCTGCTGACCTAGTTTGGGACACCGGAAGTGGGTGCTGGGGAGAGGGGGAGACCAGCAGGCTGTCCTGGCTTCCGGGCCAGGTGGAGGGCATTCTTGAATTGACCCCCACCCTGATGCCCGAGAGACCCTTAGCTGCAGCTGAGAATGGGAATGAGTCAGCGCAGCTATTTCCCCTTCCCCCAACTTATTTCTGGAGGAGGGAGACAGTTCATCGGAGGCAGGGGGAGCCCGGCTGGGCAGCGAGGGGTTAAACCAGGATAGGAACTCTCTGTTCCCTGGGGATGTATGTGTGTGGGGGGGTGAGGCCTGGAGGATTATGGGGTTGCCTCCTGCTCCCACCCCCCTCCACACACACACACACCAGCTGGTTTGGTCACCCCTGTACCTGCCTGGCACTGCTGGGAGAGCTGGCATGGAGTGGGCATCAGGTTGGGAGTGGAGAGTGGGCGCGGGGAGTGTTGTGCTGGTCTGGAGAGGGACATGCTTGTGACCGAGTTTGGGTGGTAGTTCGTGTTCCTCCTTCGGGGTGACTGCGAAGGGCAGGGGGGTCCCTCTGGGGCAGCTGATGAAACAAGAAGAAATCGCTGTCAGTGCCTCCTGGCCTTGGCCCCCGGGACCCAGCTCCCCCAGCGTGCCTCTGTTACATGGTTGCTGTGGGCACCATGCAGCCGGCTGACACCCCCAGACACTGTCCCCTCCCTTGGGTACCACACCTCCCCCAGCCTGAGCACAGGGGTCAGGAAGGGGTTAATGCCACTGGAAAGGGGCTCTGGGGAAGAAAGAAGGCAGTGCCCACTGGGCTCAGGTGTCAAGGAGAGAGGCCTGCACTGAGGAGGCGCCCTCATCACGGCTGGGCTCCGGCTGATGTGCACCCCAGTGTCCGGGAGACAGGTGCTGACCTCGTCCCCCTTCCCTGTGGTGCCCCCTGGCACCCAGGGCCTTCAACTCCTCCTTGGCCTAGTGCCTGCCCCAGGAGGGCGCGGCGGGCAGCGGGGGCTGGGCTAACAATGCACCATCGGGCCCTTTGTGTGCTTGCACTTGGCACCCTGGGGAAGGGTGGGGGAGGGGGGCCCGGCGAGCACGGGCATGGGGGACCGGGTGCCTCTGAGGGGACAGTGATGGCTGGGGGCAGAGACGCAGAGAATGAAAGCAGGTGGAGAGGAAGAGGAAGTAGGTCATATAGGGTGCTAGTCCCCCATTCCCAGCCGACGCTGAGAGCAGCAGCCCCTGCTTCTATGGCTGCCCAGATGGCATTATGCTGCCTGAGGCACAGCCACGGACTGGGCATCTGGGGTCAGAAGTCACTGCCTAGGGGACTGCTCAGAGAGAGGAGGCCTGGCCTGGTGCGGCGTCCTCCTGGTGTCTGAGACCCAATTCTAGCCCAGCGCCGAAGGCCCAGGATGGGTAGTGAGTGGACTCCAGGCCGGGCACTGCCCTCTGATAGAAGCCTCCGGGCCTGCTTCAGGGCTTCCTGCCTCTGGTGTGCTTGGTTCCCTGACCTTCTGCGAGGTAGGAGCGTCCGCTCCGCACCAGGCCTTGGAGCCCATGCCTGTTTTGGCCTAGGGCTGAAGAGGAGGGTGAGGGAGGAAGGTGGGGACAGATAGGACCCTGGCATGGGGTGTGCCTGCCCTGGCCTCTTCCCCCTCCTTCTGCTGAGTAAACTCGTGAGTAAACTTGACGTTTTGCCCGGACAGTTTGAAGTTGCCTCGCCGCCCCCCCACCCCCAGTCCTGCCAACACACAGGCGGCCAGGCGCCAAGGCGGGCCTGGGGGACTGGGGGGAAGGGGTGAGGACTACTGTAGTCCACCATCAAGGGCTTCGGAAGGGCATGAAAGACCCCCCACCCCCACCCCCACCCAGCCAGACCCAGGTCTTGGCGAGTCCTGGCTGGGGCCTGGAAGCGTTTGTCCTAGAGCCTTGAGGAGCCAAGCAAAGTGGGCTCGAAGCAGAGCCTCTGCCACTTCTAACCTCCTCTCCCACTGAGGAAAGGCACCTTTAATGCTCACAGGCTTCCTGGCACCGAGGGAAACTCCCCTGAGCAGAGACCACAGGGAGACAGACCAGAGAGGGCTGCCCTCTTCGCTCTGGAGGTGGGTGGGAGGCCGGTGGCCTTGGCATCTCAGCCTCTCCTCCAGAAGCCTCCCAGCTGCATGGCCGCGGCCCTGAGGGGTAGGCCCTGGAGGGTAAACAGCATCCTCATTTGCCAGCACAATGCCTTGACTTCACACCTGGGCCTGCCCCCACTCCACCGAGCTCCCCTCAGGCCTGTCCCTTGTGTCCCCCGGCCCCTTTCTCGGCCTGTCAGTATTCCAGAACCAAATCAGCCTTCAGAGCTTCCCAGCCACCAAAGAGCTGTGCCAGGTCCAGGGGTTGGGGTGCCCCAAACGAGAGAGCGCTGGTGACAGGCAAACGTAGCCAGTGACCCCCTTGCAAACACACCAGTTTGCTGTCACTTGACATTACTAATTCCCCTTCTGCCTCCCCAGGCCACCAGATTGGCATGGGGAAATGCCGTCCCTGTCCCGGCCAGGCCTCGGAGTGGGGCTCCACCAAGCCTTGCTTTCGACCTCATGTCTCTGGCTTTGGTTTCCTTCCTGTTTCCATTGCCCCCCCACTCCTCCCCACCCATATGCCCCTTTCAACAGACATCCTCTCTTCCTTCCTTCCTCCTTTCCTCCCCCTTTGCCTGGGAGCAGGGGTTCTCTCCCCCCATCATGGACCTCCCCGCCTTTTATCTCTCCTAAACACAGTCCCCTTGGAGATTAGTGACCAGGTCTTCTGCTCTGCCCTCCCCACCCCATCAGCAGGACTCTGGGGAAGAGAAGAAAGCGCTCAGGGCTTCTCAAGGGAACTACAACTCCCAAGGTGTATGCAAAACAACTGTAGTGCATACTGGGAGTTGTAGTCCTTGATCTCTCAATTGGGTTCAATCTGGAAATGTTTCTGGGTGGAAATACATGCCAGGATTGGGATGAATTGGGACACGGGCACCCTCTGCATTCCCCCTACCTGGTTCTCGTCATCCTGTTCCCCTGTGACACCATGTTCCCATGACTGACACCCATCTCCCCTGCTGAGACATGCTACCATTGTCACCTTAGGACTCCACCCAAGAGATGCCCACACCCTGCCCTGCTGCCCCTGGCAGGGGTGAAATGGAGGGGCCCCATGGACTCCCTCCCTATCCCCTGCCCTCTAGGCTGGCGCCCTCCTTTATGGGGATCAAAGGGCAGACAGCAGCCCCACCCCACGCCCTCTTAGGTTTCTGGCATTAAGGCTCAGGAATTGCAGGGACTTTGGTGCCCAAGCAAACGCCTGGGCAGGGGGAATGCCGGGAGGCTGGCGCCTGGTGGCCGGCCCCCACCTTGGGGCGCGGAGCCTTCCATAACCGTTCATCAGGCCGTCCTCCTGGGCTCTCTGCAGGCCTAACCCATGTGCTGCCTCGAGGTTGTTTGAGAACAGGGTCTTGGGTTTTATCTGTAGGACCTAGGGGCCTGGGCCCGCCTGGCTGGCACCAAGGCACAGGGGTGACCCTCCCCCACCCCAGGCCCACAGTTGGCATGGGGCGCTGGGAGCAGGGGGGTAGGAGGGAGAGAGGGCACGACTGCCAGCATCCTGGTGGGTAGGTGCCAACCGGGACGGGAGCTGGTGAGGGGCAGCAGGCCAGCGGCATTGAGCCAGCAGCTGTTGGGGGGAAAGGGGAAGGGATATTTTGGGGGGCATCCACAGGACTTGGGATGGCCTAGCATGTGGGGGACACTAGGGTGCCCCTCATTCCTGGAATAAGAGACCACTGGTGGTGTTTAAGTGGGACCTTGTGGCCCACCCATGTCTGGGCTCAGAGCCCTCCTGAGTTGCCCCTCAGGCCCAGGCGGGTCCCACCCAACCGGCCAGGGTGGCAGCAGCTTGCTTGCGCAAGGGGTGGGGCTAGGCGCCCTTCCCAGCAGATGCCCCCTCGCAGCTCCTTCCTCTTTCGGTGCCCACAGCTCCCCCCATCTGTCCACCCCCCACCGGCCAGTTCTCTCCCCGTGGTCCCCCTGGCCATTGGGGGCTGGCACAAGTGCTACCCCCTGGCCTGGTTGGCAGGGGCTGGCGCCCGAGCAAGGAACTGTGGTATGTGAGTGGGTTTGGGGTGAGGCATGGGGAGGGCGGGGTGCCGCCTTGCCCAGCCCCTAAGGGCCCCAGCCCAGTATAGGGTGGAGAGAATTCGGCCACCTCCCAAGGGGGCTGAGGGCCCTACTGGGGTCTGGAGGACCTCCTTGTGGTCTCCTATCCCACCACATGCCCCTAGGGGCTGGGACCTGGGCACCTGTCACCCTGGCACTGACTGTCCAAGGTTCCCCTCCTCCCTCTTCTAGCCACAGCCACCTCCTGTCCCCTCCCCTCCCTTCTTCCTTCTCCTGGTCCCACCTCCAGCCGCCTCTCCCATTGCTCCTCTTCACCTCTGTCCTCCTGGACTGTCCTAGCTCCTACCTTTCCTCCTGCTCACCTCTTTCCCCTTTTAGGACTAAGGGCAGGCGGGGGTGGGTACAGCTGGGGCTTGGGGCACCACAGGCAGAGACTCTGGGCCCTCTCCCACGCTGCCAGCCCTCTGGTAACCCCTCCCTCCAAGCTGGGGGGAGGGGGGGAGAGCACCCAGAGAGTTAAGGCTGTAGGGGGGAGGGGCTGGACCAGGTCGTGGGCGGCCCTTTTGAAGGAGGGAGCTGGAGCGGGGAACAGCCACCCTACCTATCCCCCAGCCTGGCCCTCCCCCACCCCTCCCAACCTGCTCCCCCCAGGGGCCAAGAGGAGTTGCCGGCAGGGCCCCTCAGCGTTCAGGTGAGTAGGCCCGCTCTGGCTTGGGAGACCGGGCCCTAGGGGAGGCTCGGAGGCCTAGAATTGGACAAGGGTCAGAGAGGGACTGAAAAACAGGTTTGGAAGAGGGTGTCCAAACTTCTCTGGGGGGTTAGGGAGCTGAGGTTCTGAGGAGCTGGCGTCTGGGGGGAAGCTTCCGTGTGTTGGGGACCCAGCAGCACCGCCGAGCAAAAGCAGGGGCCTGCGGGAGCCCGGGATTGCGGTGCGGTGCCAGGACGGGAGGTTGGACAGGCTGGCAGGGAGCCGGGCTCCGGGGATCGAGCTGGGGTGTCCTCTGGGGCTGGGGGGCTCAGGTTTCTGCTGTCGGCTTGGCGGGTGTGCGATTACCAGTCGGCTCAGTTACCCAGCCAGAGACACTAGGCTGGGGGGAGGGGGTGGGCACAGGGCAGACCCTGGCACCTTGTGCCATCTCCTCAGGCTCTAAGAGGAGCTGGCACTCTCAGGCGGACCCTGCTGGGAACCCTGATGGCCACGGTCTGTCCAAGGGCGGTTGCCTGGCTCAGGGTGGGCACCCTCTGGGGAAAGTCCAGCAGCTTCAGGGCTGGAAACTCTGACGGGCAGAGAAGCCTAGGTTGTCCTACCCGCCCCCCCACATCCGCTTTCACTGTACCCCCCCACCCATGCTCCCCAACTGGCTCCCCGATTTTGGGTCCTGTGCTTCATCCAGAAGGGAGGCATGGGTGCCCTAACGCGGCCATCCCGGGGCAAGACCAGGCCTTGATTGGGTTCCTCTGTCCCTCTCTCTGCTGAGGCTGCCTGGGGAGGAGGGGAGGGATCCTTGGATAGGGCGAAACAGAGAAAGTGGGAGAGACCTGGGAGGGGAAGGGAGAGGCCTCCAGACGCAGCGGTGGCAGTGGAGGCCGGAGCCGCACGGGCTGGAGGAAGACAGGGGAATGCGTGGTGGAGAGAGGACAAGGGTCGGAGAAGGCACGAAGGGGACAGAGCAGGAAGCCAAGAAAAGGGGCCAAGAGTGGAGAGTGGCTGATGGACAGGGGTCCCCCAAGATAAAGTGGGGAAGGCTGGGGAAGAGGGAGGTACCCCCATCCCTCCCTCCGCCATCTTTTATCTTCCTCAGAGTACCCTGATGCGGGCGCAGAGGCGGTGGGCGAGGGCTGGTGTCACGGAAAAGAAAATGGGAGGGGACACTGAGTTCTCCCTCGAGACAGGACTTGGAGCCCCAGGAATTGGGGATTTTGAGGGAGGAGAAGCTTAGCCCCAACAGCACCGGGAAGCCGGCTCCCCTGCCTCCTTCCCCCTTCGTGGCGTGGCTTGCGGTCTCCCTTCCCCGCCTAGGCCCCCAGGAAGTGTGAGTGCTGGGGGTGGTGAGGTTAGGAGGGGGAAGCAGCCTATGGGGGATGGGGAAGTCTTGCACTCGCTTTGGAGGGGCTGGGGTGGCGAAAGAAGGGCTCCAGACATGCCCTGGGCATCCCCGGGCGCAGCCCTTCGAGCCCATCGGGGACTCGCCTCCGTCCCTCACCTGCCTTCCCAACGAGGCGGTCCAGATGGCTTCAGCCCTGGGCCCCAGAGGCCCTGGGAGGGGGTGGGGGACGCTGGGGAAACTAGGATTCCTGGGTCCCTGAGGACTTTGGACTGGCTGTCCTATTTCCCCAACGCTCTGGTCCAGCCACAGGCCAAAGCCCTTGGCTTCGTGCAAACTTAGTTCCAAAAAAGAAAAAAAAAAAACAGGAAGAGAACCGAGGCTGGAGTTTCAACTAGTCATAGGCAGCTCTCTCCAGTTTACGTTCTTTCTCCCAATTGCCCCCTTTTAAGGCCCCAGTACAATTCAGAGGTGAGCTTACTTGCATATCTATTTTCTCCGCTGCTAATCCTGGTTCCGCCTGCTGCCCCCCACACTAAGCCTCACTCCCCTAATCCCCAGGGTGCGGGGAGGGGGGCCAGCTTTACTCAGCTGCCCTGTTCAGGGCCCCGTAGCCCAGCTCTTCAGCTGCGCGAGCCAGCGGTGCTGGCCCTGGCGCCCCCATCCCTGCGCTGGCCACTGCCCGAGGTCGGCCCTGGAAAGAGCTCTGGCCTCCTTTCCTTCCCAAGCCCTCTCCTTTCCACTGCCCTCTCTCTACCTCGGGGTTCTTGGTGGTGGACACGCCCTGGCAGCTGCCCCTGGGCACTGAGGGGTAGGCGATAGGGGTTCCTACCTTTCTTGCCCCAAAGTCTTCCCCCCACCAATGATGGGGCAGGCTTGACTCAGGGCCCAGTTTCAAGAGAGCTGCCCACTGGCTTGGCCGGTCTAGCAGGCCTGACAGTGAGGGGAGCCTGGGGGGGTGGCAGGAAAGAGGGGAGTGATGGGGCGGGGCCCCCAGTTCTTCCCCCTACCAGGCAAACAGACCAAACAGACCTCGCCTGGTTCCCTGGCACAGCTGCCCCCCCCAAACACCACACGCCCATGCCCACAAGGTCTTAGCAAGAGGGGGCATGCCAGGCTGGGTGGGGATGGGCCGCCCTCTTGGGGCGTCAGGGGGCTGGGCCCTCTGGGATGCAGAGGTGGGAAGGGTGCCCAAGGTGGGGTGGGCATCCTGGCACCAGTGCCCCACCCTGGCAGAAAGAAGGGGGAGGCCTCCACCCCATCTACCCCTCCCAGATGATGGGGCTAGGAGTGCCCCCTTGGCCTGGTTGGCACCAGCATAGTTCCAGGTGGCACCTAAGTTGGCATGGGTGCCAGAGCCCTGGGTAAGGGCTGGGGGAGTTTCCCAGAAGCTGGAGAACCATATGAATACCTGCCCTTCCCACGTGTGTCTTGTGTCCTCTGCCTCTTCCCTCCTTCATTGCTACTTGGTGGCATGGGCATTGGAGCTGGACCTAAGGGGTTAAATACCCACCCTGGCCCACCCTGGCCCAAGCCTGGTGCGAACTGTATAGTGTACCAGCCTGAGCTTCTGACCTGACAGCAGG